TAAAATGATCGAGGTCATGTCCATATATCGTACAATAAGTCGATAACATAATATAGTGAAAGGCCTCTATGTTAGTTTATCGTGACTCTTACAATCTAAACCAAATTGCTTTAGAGCTAACCGACAGCTTATTGGGGAATTAGAGAATTTCTGTTCATCAACGAGCAGGAATAACTTTTAAAATAACTCAAAGAGAAGGTCTGAACTGCAGTTTTAAAAGAAGTTCTCTTTGGATGCAACTAGCGAGCCCTCCAGTACGAGTTTGAGTACAGAGCAGAGACACCCTGAAGAGAGTGCTCGGCTGTCTGGCTCCACTCGTGGTCTGACTCCTGAAGCATTAAAGACGTTCATTTTATTAGATGTTTTTCCCTCCTGCTTCTGTCTCCACCATACGTCTAATCGGTTTGTTTTCAGCTCACCAGCTCGCTTTAACAATAGGATCTAAAGCCATTATAATGTACAGCTGCTGCTCTGTATGTTAGTCAGCCTGTCACACAGCAGCTCCAAATCATCAGATATGAAATTACAGCCAGCTAATAGCTGGTTGTGGCCGGAGAGTTAGACGCTCAGACAGCTGACATCCATCATTCAGAGGCTCCAGCCGGCTCTGAAACTCTCTCTGACTGCTAAACATGTGGACGCTCTGAGCGCTGAGACAGATGTGAAGAAGATAGAGACACAAGACAAACGGACATGTCTCCAATGTCCAACTGTCAGCTTTTTAAAAAACAAAAAATAAACTCAAAACCTTTATGTTGATGGGGCATTTTTGTCATCTCGTGACTTTTTAAAAGGATTTCACAAACCCAATATGTCGGAGTGAGAGCTGAAGATATTAGTCAATCGATTAGCTGATCAATAAACAAACTACTTGGATAATCAATTATATGTTGCAAGCAGAAATACCAGATATTCCCCAGTTCTAGCTCCACAATTGTGAAGCTTTGCTTCTTTTTTGTCTCTTATTTTTAAGACCTTGCATTGCGTTGGGAAATTTTCTGAATATTTATTGCAATTGTTAACATTTTATAGACCAAAGAAATCATTCATTTGAGAGAACAATGAACATAATTCCTAGTTTTCTTTGGAGTGATATAGTTTCAGCTTCCAATACCAGCATTTATCGAGCAGAATGCAATTGTTAAACCTCGATTATAATTCCTAAGTAACATGTTTGTGCGCTACAGCATCATTTGGGATGCTCTAAAACAAGAAGTTGACTTCTACCAACAGCCAAACCAAACCGTGAGCACCAGAGAGAAACTAACCCCAGTCTTGACACATGTTCATGAAATGTCTAAAAGTGTGGGTAACTCATCCAGCTTTAATTTCTGAGTTTTTCAGCACTGACGAAGCGAAAAGAGTGAACCAGGCGCTGTGTTCTTACCCCTAATACCGCCATGCGTCGACTGTGGATGGTGCAGCGGCCACGTCTCTTCCTGCGGTTGTGCGGCCGACAGTGTTAGCTCCTCATCATGGAGAGCCTCTCATTGGAGCCTGAGACAGAGACAGAAAGCAAAGACGTCAGGGAGATGCATTCTGAAATCTCATTGATGTTGAAAAATCGGGGCTTGGCAATATCCAGACATAGTATTCTAGGAAAGAATACTAAAGAATACTACCCAGGGTGCAAAATGTACTTTTCTTTGCCCAACAATTGCTAGTGAATGTTTAAATTTGACCAGCCACTCGATAGATTACCATTGTTTGTTTGTCTGGTGAGTGAAGAACATCTACGAGACACTAAAACCAGTTCAGCTTTAAATACTGTACATAGTTCAACATTTCGGGAAATGTGCTCATTTAATAGATTTTAGAGTAGTTAGATGAGATAATTGATAACTGTCCGTTAAACATGAAGCCTCCAGCAGCCACTTAGCTTAGCATAGCTTAGCATAGAAACTGGTCTAGTTGGCTCTGTGCAAACTCTTCCCACCAGCACACCAAAAGCTCCCCAATGAACACGTTCAAATACAGAGAATACAATACAATCTGCTGTTTTACAAAGGTTATGCACTGGGCTATTTTTGACCAAGGCCAAGGAACTTTTGTACTAGATATGTCGGGTTAATGTATGCACTTTGAAGGTGTAGACAGCGGACTTTGTCACCTTTGGACAGAGCCGGGCCGGCTGTTTCCTCGCAAGGATCTCCAAACTTGTCGGACTATTCCTTTAATTAAAATCTGTAAATGTGGCTGGGCACAGCAAAGGAAGCTACCTACAGGGAGTCGAACCGCAACAGAAACTCCACGGAATAAATACTTCACTGTACCACCCACGCTGTTTGAATTGATGAGCCGCGAAATGCTTGGCAAGAGAGACAAACAAAGAACATGTATCACCACTCGTAACACACACGTTTAATGCTGTACAGTTATTCCTAAAACGTGTGGTTGTCCTCCACGGAGGAGGGCAACGGACTTCTGTCAGCAGTGACCCATCCCGCCATCGCTTCGTGTGATTCATGGCTTAATGTGTAGGAGTCCGGCCGCTCCGGTCACGATCGGAGAGGGAACGCAGGACGGACACCCACGACTGTTTCATCCTCCTCCAAAACACACAAGTCTCCGGTTACAGCAGTAGGTCTGCCTCCGTCTGCTCATCAGACCGTGAAATCAGCCCAGTTACTCCACAGCGCTGGTGTGTGTGTGTGTGTGGGGGGTGGGGGGGTCGGCTGAGGACGCACGCAGCCTATTAACGAGCTTCACACAGATGTTATGGTCACATGACGCCTCTGTGATGTAATGTTTTATTTGCGCCCTGGTGAGGGGCGAGTCCAGGTCGTGGGTTTCCTCTTTGTTTGCTTTGCGTGGACAGAAATTGTCTGCACCAACAACATAAAACCACCCCACGATGTGAAGGGGTGTGTGGATGAGAAGACAGATGTTAACATCTGCAGTTATGCTTGAAAAGCACAACATGTTTTAAGGACAGATGCCAAATCAACAGAAGGTAAAATACCTCGTGAAAGGAACAAAGAAGAGGACAACACCTAAACTCTCTAAAGGAGCTCCACTACACAGCCGAGATGTCGTCACGCAAACATGACACCAGTTAGATTGTTAAACGTGGAGTTTAACATGACTCCAATATTTTCACGCCTTCCTCCAGATGTTGGAACACAGCTGCAGGAATTTGCTCCCATTCAGCCACAAAGAGCATTAACAAGGT